GAGACGTATTCTTCTGGCTGTTATTGATTGTGTTCTTATGCTAACTGGCATAAGGTGATTCTAGATCTACTTACTAATTTCTGGGTTTGTCTTGGTGGGTGAGTGTTTTGTTCCTTGGTTTCTGTTCCCTGTCTAGATAGTCAGAGTGTGATGGCTGTGTTTTGCTTTTTTACTGTCCTGCTTGGATGGTGTGTCCATAGGGAATGCCTGCTGGTTTTGGAGGCTGGGATAGAGTGGGGAAGCAAGATCAATTGGGGTTGTTTGTGGGATCCACAGGAGAAATGGGCAGGAGGAAAGGGATACCACAGCTTTTGATCTGTTGCAGGGCTTGTGAGGAGAGAGACAGAGTCAGAGAGAGACAGAGAGAGAGAGAGACACACACACACACACACACACACACACACACACACACACACAGAGAGAGAGAGAGAGAGAGAGAGAGAGAGAGAGAGAGAGAGAGAGAGAGAGAGAGAGAGAGAGAGAGAGAGAGAGAGAGTGTGTGTGGTGGTCCTAGGGGAATATAAAGAATGGAGAAGTTCTGCGGGTGGCCTGCCTGTTTTTCTGGCAGGGATGACCTGAGCCTGAGCAGTAGGTCTCCACTTGAGTTGGATATAGTGTCAAGTGGGGGCAAAGGAGTTTAGGAGGGGATGGACTATGGGATCCACAGGAGATGTGGGCATGAGGGAAGGGAGTCTGAAACTAGTGTTCTGTTGTAGCTCAGAGGACAAGTCTGAGAGATTAGCTCTGGTGGAGCAGAGTGAACAAGGTTTGTGGGCACCCTATCTGGTTTCCTAGCAGCCTTGGCCTCTGGTTGGGCAAGTAGAGTCTGTCTGAGTTGGGGGCTAGGATACAGTGATAACTGCTAATAGGGAGTTCAGGGGGGGATGGTCTGTGGGGTGTACAGGCAATTTGGGCAGGGTGGAAGGGAGAATACAGCTGGGACTCTGTTGCAGCATTAGGAAGGACCCAGAAGAATTGAGTCTAGGGGAAACAGAAAGTGTGGGTATGGTTTGTATAGATGCTACCTGGCTCTCTGGCATGCTGGTATTTAATTTCTTAATCTGTGACTATCATTCTAATTTTTCACTTCCACTGTACACAGAGTTTCCAATTTATAAATCTCTTGGCTGATCTTTTTCTACTTTCTATAGATGAGCATTTTTATATTAAAATATGATTTTCATGTCCATTGTTTTTCTTGCTCATTAATGTTTAGGTAGATACGTTGGTGAAAATTTAATGATGTAGTTTGTGACATGAATTTAAAAGAGCAAGGTGGGTATACGGAAGGGTTTGTAAGGAGTAAAGGGAAGGGAAAAGATGTAATAATGTTATAACCTCAAAAAGAAATGGGAAGAAAGTCGACTTTTGCCTACGTATGTCATTTCATCCATAATTTATTAAACATACGCTAACTGTAATAGGTATTTAAATATTTTTATTTTTTGATAATTTCATACAGTGTATTTTGATCATGTTTGCTTTCTTTACCACCTCCCATATCCACCCTCTCAACCCTTACCTCCCTACTAACCTAAATTGAGTTTCCGCCTGTATTTTTCACGTCAAGTCCAGTTTGTGTTACCTAACTACTCTTAGAAGTGAGTCGTCTATGAAGATATTTTAAGGAGCACACACTAGGTACTAGAGCCTTCTCTTAGGGAAAATTCAAGAGATAAAGCATATCCAGTTTGAGAGTCATTTATCCTAGATAGTGACATGTCAGTTACTTTTCTGTTTCTGTAGTAAAACACCATGACCAAGGCAACTTACAGAACAAAGTTTATTTGGGCTAACAGTTTCAGCGGGATAAGAGTCTCTCATGGTGGGTAAGCATGCCAGTAAGGAAACATGTTGGTTAGAGCAGGGTACTGAGAACCACAGATGTAAAGCACTGAGAACCACAGATGTAAAGCAGAGACAATGAACTAGGCAGGATGAGACCTTAAGATCCCTAACTGCACCCTCAATGACATATTCCTCCAGCAAGTCCATACCTCCTAAACTTACCACACTGCACTACCAACTGTGGAGCAAGTTGTAAAATTCCTGAGACTATGACAGGGGTAATTAATAATTTAAATTACCACCTTTCATTACTAAGTCCCCTATTCTTTTATAGTTGTAACACTGTTTAAAAGCCCAAAGTGTCTTTTCTGAGTTTCACGGCGATTTCCTAAGTAACCACCTGTAAAATCAAAAACAACTTACACATTTCTAACATAGAGCCGCACTGAATGCACACTACCATTCCTAAAGGGAAGAAGGGGCATAGTGAGGAAATACTGGACCACAGCATAGCTCTGGCATTTCCACCGTCTTGGGGTCTCTAGTGCGGTCCAGATTTCCCTTTCACAGCTCCACACAATGGCCGCTTGCCCTGTCTTGCCCTCTTATTTTCTTCATGTAGGGATTCCCTTACCCACTGTTCTATATCCCTGTAGCTTTCTAAAACGACGGAGAAGGAGTCTATGGCCCCTTTATACTTATATTCTATCCTTCATAACTCTCAAGCCAGTACCACCTGGCTGATATTTCTAAAGCTGCCAGCTTGGGACGGAACTTTGGCCCCCTGAAAGGCATTTTCAGCAGCTTTTGTTGTTGCTTCATAGGAGCAGAAAACTCCATTGGATCCTTTAGAAGCTGGAGACTTAGGTGCCAGAGGTCTTGTTCTGAGGACAACATTCGAGTCATTCCAGGATCAAGCAGGAGGCCTCTCCTTAGTCACCTTGCGCCCATCTTATTTCTATCAGCATAAGCTTTGTGTTCAACATGGGTCCCTTGTGTTCCTTTTTTCTAAGCTACAGATTTTGTTTTTATTTCTGCCCTATTTCCTCTTTTTTAAATTGTAGATATGTATAAGAATGACAACTAATCACCATGTGACCATCAATATTAGGTTGCCTTGAAATCTCTGCCAGAGAAATTAGTCCAACCTTTTTTACATTTAGCCTCTGGTATGTTCTAAAGTTAAAGACAGAAAGCAGCCATATCCTTCATCAAATTATGGCATGAATGGGCTAGAAACCCATTCATTTCTCTCTGAAACCTCCTTAGGTGAACTTCCACAGTCCATATTGCTGTCAGCATTGCTGCCTTCCAGTCTCCAGCTAGGTTCTTCATTAAGTTCTACTTAATAGCATTAAACTGCTTAGTAAAGCAGTCCACAGTTCCACAGTCTACCACATTCCTTCAAAAGTGACATGGTCATGTTTGTTCACAGGAATAGCTCACTCTCTGGAACCAACTTCTTGCTTGGTGTTTTCACTGTTGTGATAAAATACCACAACCAAGACAATTTACAGAAGAAAGGGTTCCAGAAGGATAAGAGTCTGTCATGGCAAGGAAGAGTGGTAGCAAACAGTGGCATGGTGGTTGGAGCAGGGTGTTTAGAGCCAATCTCTTGATCCACAGACATGTAGCAGAGGGAGCAAACGGAGTAGACTGAGGGATTAAACTCTCAAAGCCTATGCGCAGCTCAGTGATAGACTTCTTCCAGTAAAGCCACCCCTCCCAAACTTCTCAGACTGCAACACCAACTATGGACCAAGTATTTGAATGCCTAAGACTATGGAAACATTTCTCATTCAGATCACTATACTTGGAAGCAGATGTGCTTCAGGATTGTTTTATTTTTAATTTTAGAATATTGACATACATAGACTTTACTGAGTATACCTTGTCCAAATTGTTCCAAAGTTTAAAATCTCGTGGTTAGTAACATGATGCTCAAAAGGTTTTAGATGTGGTAACATTTACTATTTGAGGACGTAGCTTAGGCACGATCAATCTACACTACAAAACCAAAGGGCAATTAGAAAGGTTTTGATGAATACATGCAAGTTAACTGCACCCATATACTATAGTTCATGATAAATATGATTGTTTTTGAAATTTAAAATTTTCTGCCTTACATAGATTGTTAATATGTGATTATATTTGGAAGTAGAGTCATTTTGATATTATGAGGGTTGGGAAGAATAGCCCATATGACAAAAACATGATAAGGGGCAAAATTCAGGGACTCAAGATGATTAATTGGGTGATAGAGATGTCATGTGTGAAAACAGTTTAAATGGGATGAGAGTATTTGTAAAGAGGGAAGGTATATGTTTTAGAGCATAAAGAGTAAGATTTTTTGGGAGGTAGGGTTTAGGCTTGATAGTGGAAGGGTCACCATTAGCTCTTAAACATCCAGTTAGCATATGCTAAGTTAACAGACATTAAATACAAGGAATTGGGACCAGATGCTGAACAAGAAGAGTGGATTTTCTGGAACAGAAATTTGCATTGTAGGCAAGCCAAATATGAATCTGTTGTATCAAGATAACAGTAGATTAAAATGCTCACTCTAGTAATAACCTTGAAAATTACGTTTTCAGTGGAGTAGTAAATATCAATAGTAAATAGGAAACACTGTGAAAAGACCTGGTAGGTACCACAAAATAATAGAAAAAGTGACATGACACATTTCCTCCCCCATTGACTGAAGGTACATCTGTCATGCTACCAAGTCCAAAGAGCCTCAATATTAATACTCTGTCAGGTACCATTATTGAGCATTTGCTCTGCTCCAGGTACAGTGTTGGGTTCTTTGCATGCAATGTGTCAGTTTAGTTTTATACCAAACTTGATGGTGGGTCCTATGATCCCTAGATAGTGTAGGACTAGAGAAGAGAAATACATTTGGAGTGTTAATCAGTAATGGGGTTGGGTTTGTAGCTCTGCCTGTTAATTTTGATAATTATACTGTGCTGGTTTGCTTTTAAAAGAAGATTCCTTTGTCTGCTTTAAATTCTCAAAAATGTTCATGTTCATGATCTCTTCAATATCTTAAATTTCAAATTTCATATTGAAACTTTAACACTAGGTACCCTGAACTTAGGACAAAAGGATAGAGGAATCACACTTGCCATGAAAAGATTAACGCAGTAAGTAAATTGTAGCAGGGTAGAAATATCAGAAGCATGATCCTTATTATTATCATAATTTCTTATTAGTCAGGATTTGCACAAAGATGTTGAAGAAGCTGGTGCACTGCAGAAAAATCATGCTTTTGTGACACCCGAGAACTCCATAGAGGCTGCAGAGGCTGCTTGCTTGCCTACTGCAGATGAGTCATTTAGCACCCAGAGCTGTGAAACACCAGCAGAACAAACTCAGAGGAGTGATCCAGAGAGTTCAGTAGAAGTAAATGATGCTGAAACAGCAGGAGAAAAAGAAAATCTTAGTGATGATAAACCTTCAGAAGAAGAGACAAGTGAAAATGTGCCTAACGTACAAGACAACACAGAGCCACCAAAGAAAAATAGAATTACTTACTCACAGATTATTAAAGAAGGAAGAAGATTTAATATTGATTTAGTATCAAAAGTAAGTACCAATTTTATACATCTTAGCATAGAGCAACAATATTGAATATAGCATCTAGATCTTCAAGTGCACTTTTCTTATTTTAGTTTCTGAATTGAAAAGTGTTTGCTTTATACAAAGATCGTAAACACATTTTATAATTCAGTTACAAATAGTTGTTTTAAGTATAGGTTGAAAGTGCACTAAAATGTTAGTCTGAATATATTTACTGCACTTTTAAACTATACTAAATATTTTTGTACCCAAAGAATGCTATTGCATTAGGGCAAATAGTCTATCCTAGTATTCAAATTCATGGGCACTATGAATTCCATCAGAAGAAAATTTTTATTGAATTTGTGTTCAAATCTCATGTTCTTGGCAATAAATTTTATATATGTGTTTTTAATCCTTATAAACTTGACCTCACAGAGAAACCCTGTCCCATAAAACCAAAAAAAAAAATTGACCTCAATATAAGTGTTCCAAATAAATGCAGTTTTGAAAATCTGTGGTCAGGATTCAGGACATTGGAGCTGGTGTTTCCATAGTTAACTCTAATGTTATCTCATTGTAATTTCTGATGACGTTGTTGGATCATGGGAGGCTTCAATGCTGCATTGGGTTCATAGGAAACAAGATTAGTTTTGTTCAGAATAATAGTAAAATATCCAGTCAGACTTGCCATCAAGTGTGTGGTAAGAGAAAGCGAAGGGACAATTCCTGCACCTTACATTTTACTGCTGAAATCTGTATGTCCATTCCTCTGTTTGCTTTGAATTTAGTGTGTGGAAATACGAATATTTCCCTAAATAAAATATTGTACTATTCAGAATAGTAGAGAAAAAAATCAACATAAGACTTTTTTCAATTAAAAGGGATTCTAAGTAAGCTTATTTACTTCAGTTATTGAGCCAATGTGGCAAATAGACAAAAAGATTGTTTAAAATGCTTCTGATTATTTTAGTGCAATTGCACCCTTTTTCATCTCTCATCAATGTGAAATTGCTGTGGTAGATCACTTACGGGGCATTGATAAAAAGCCTTAAGATTAAATATGGTGCATGTATTATTTCCATGATTCAGAAACTTATATCTGAAATAATTTTAGTTAAGATTTGCTTCTATTTTTCAGTGAAAACTGAAATTCACTTGTTTTAAGCTTTATTTGACTTATGAATAGAATTTTGGTCTATATTAATATTTAAAAAATTATGCCTCTTCATGGAGTATCACATCAGAAATAATTATTTTTTAATGTTTTTATTTAAATTAGAAACATGAATGCTTCACATGTCAATCCCAGCTCCCTCTCCCACCCCTCCTCCCTTGTCCCTCCACCAGCCCTCCCAGCCCCCTACCCAATCCCCACATCATTCCTTAGGGAGGGTGAGGCCCTCCTTGGTGGGATCTCGAGTGAAAACCACTTTTATAGAGTTAAGACTTGTCATTTAAAAAATAATGTGTGTCAGTTTTACAGTGTTAGGAATGAGGCAATCAAATAACATGGCATACTTATTTAGTCAGAGTATTTGGATTAATTTCTCAAAGTGAGACACTAACTTCGGTTAGCACAATGCTAAAGTAATATGATAGTTTATAAAATTGCACTTAATTGATATTGATTAACAGATCATCTTCTTGGTTGCTCAAATTATTGAATGAGATCAAAATTTTGAGCTGCCATATTTCTTTGTATAGTCAAACTTTTATTTAATTTTCTCCAGTTACTATTGATACAGCTTTTATTTTTTATGTATTGAGTTACAAGTTATAAGTATCATGATCATAGGAAATAGCCAAATATAATATTTATACATATGGTTGAATTTCAAACATACTAGATAATGCTGTTTAACGTTTTATATTCCTCTCTGCTATTAACTATGATGTATGCTGAAAGATTAAGTCAGTCCTTCATAGAAATATCAATAGTAAAATTGTTTACTTCTTGAAAAAGGTCATGTGTCATATAAACTTAGATTTTGAGTGGCTTAGAATTCGACTCTGTTATAGAAATTTATCACAAATCTATTTGAGGTTATTTTGTTTTATTCTGGTTTCTTTTGGTTGGTTTGTCCACATTGGTGGCATGGGGTGGTCTACTATACTCATCTCTTCTTATAACCAACTGGCTGTATTTCCAGTTCAAAATTTTGTATCTTTAGATCCTGAGGTATCATATCACTCAGATGACAGGGATATTTCAGAAGGAAATACAGTGGATATGTTGATGTACTGTGTGCAGTGTAACATTCTTAGCAGATCTGGAAGAGATTTTATAACTAAACCCATTAACATTTCTGTAATGAAATTCATGAATGCTCATACATCATCCAAACAAGAGTAGAAGAACCATTTAGGAGCTCAGGTTTTACTGCCAGAACAAGTTATAAAAAAACCTTTTATATTATAGAGTTTTTTTTTTTGGTTTGAATTTCAGTAAAAAATTGTGAACATCTAATGAGTTAGTTTTAGATTTTAAAATGTATGTATAACTTAAGTTGTAACAGAAGTGTGTGTGTGTGTGTGTGTGTGTGTGTTTGTTGTAATTGCCATTTTCCAATATTTTGCTTTTGATCATATTCTCTCAAACACTTTCTGCCTACAGCTTCTCTATTCTCGTGGATTGCTAATTGATCTTCTAATCAAATCGAACGTTAGTCGATATGCAGAGTTTAAAAATGTTACAAGGATTCTTGTCTTTCGAGAAGGAATTGTGGAGCAGGTACTGTGCCGCTCAGCCATGTGAGCCAAGTTATTGTCACTCATTTAGAAGGATAAGAAAGGAAAATTAGCATTTTTTTCTAGTAAGGCCGTAAGTTCCAATTTGCTTGGTCATTTATAAATGTAAATACAAAATTTGCTCCATTAAATTTTCTGTTGTATTTTTGAACATTTATTCCCTAGGTTGATTTTGATGTTGAAGAAATGCTAGTTTCAGCCAGCAGTACTGTTTTTGAATTGTCATTTGTTCTCTATTAGGGGTGACATGTCATTGGCCTTTTAATGGTATGAAGAACAATGTGGCAAAATTAAGTAACAGAGCTCTCAAATTAATTAGCTCTGTAGTTAACAGAGATGCTATTAGAACTGATGAAAGGTGACATGAAGGAGCCAGAATGGAATGGAAATGATAACCTTGTAATGAGGAAAGGAATGAAAAGTATAGTCTGGAATACTTGTGTCATTAGGAAGCATTCTAAAAATCATCTTCACTTTCAAATACTTTTCAGGTTCCCTGTTCGAGAGCAGATGTCTTCAATAGCAAACAACTTACTATGGTAGAAAAACGAATGCTTATGAAATTTCTAACATTTTGTATGCAATATGAAGAACATCCTGATGAGTACAAAGGTATCGCTTTCCAATATTGTTTTTTAATTATGTGTGATTTTAATTTTAATCTGCTTCCTCAATTTGGTAAACAACTAATTATTCTCAAATGCATTCTGTCTCTACTGTATCCAGTAAGTTAGCCATAGCAACATGGTACTATTTAAATCCATTCAAATCCTGAAAAGTTCATTCCCTCAGTCATGCTAGCAATATTTCAAAGTGCTTGGTATCCATGCGCATCTAGTGGCTATAATGCAGATGTTTTCAACATTGCCAGACTGTCATGGCAGGTCTCATTTTTATTCTTTTTAATTAAAATACTATGGTTAACTGATTATTTAATCTATGTGTATATGGCAGTAGGAATTGAACATAAGACCTGGCTCATAAGATATAGCCTATTAAATGATTGTTGATATATGGCATTCCTTTTTGTATTTCATCTTTACTTTGTTAATAATAATAATAATAGTAATAGTCATAATAATAATAATAAATTTGTATAGATATTACTTGTCAGGACTGCTTTTACTTGAAGTATTGTCCTATTCATTTTGATTGACATAAATGCTATGTAATACATAGTGGAAACCTCTAGATTTAGTGAATCTGTGGTTTCTAATCTTAGTTTTAAACTTATTATTGTAATCTTAAGGACAGTTATTTTAGCTTGTTGAAAATTGATTTCATTGTTTTAATGTCAGCTGCTTTTCCAGTACATTGGGTTGGAAAAATTGTCCAAAATTAAATTTTATTTTGATAATTTATGTATAAAATTCAATGAGAATTACATCATGATTTGTTTTGATAGAATTCTGAAAACCCAATTCTCACTATTAAAGCCTCAAGCCTCAGTAAAGTTGTCCTTTCCAGTGCCTAAACTTAGAGACTTCCAGTCAGTTAATTTCTATCACTTTTATTAACTTAGCTTATTTCCCTAAAGTAATGGCTTTTAACACAGGATTGTTTTTTCCTAGTAGTAATGCATTTGCTTGTTTCTCTTACATAATGAAAGGATTAGTTTTGTAGGTATTCCTTATTATCGAAGTGTGACTGTCTGTATGTTGGGTTCCAGCAGCCACGAAGAAACTAGTTTCATTATATTACAGTAGTTTTTTATTCTAGGTTTGAATGCAAAATATACATTTAACAAAAGTAAAATGTAAAATATAACAAAAGTGACATTTTTATTAATGCATTTTATCAGTTCATTATATTTTATCTTAATATTTTCAGATATGTGTTGATATTATTATATAGTCTAAATGCTAATGAATTGAGGTATTGCCGCCCACCATAATTCATTGAGGTGTTTAATATCTTCCCAGATTTTCCCATCAATAAAATACTAAACAAAGATTCATCGTTTAAATTTTAAAAACTATGCCATTTATTTATTTAGGATAATAAGGTTGTTTCCATATTTTGTTCTTAAAACCAATAGTATATGTCCACACTGTAGTAATAAGGACCATTTGTATCCTGTTTTAAACCTTTAACAGACTTGGCTATTTAATGTGGGATTTTTTTTTAAATAGAAAAATTAAGTTTTATTTTAATCGATAAATTTTCCTATTTCTTTTCATAGCATATGAGGAAACTACATTTTCTGATTATTTAAAAACTCAGAAATTAACCCCCAACCTACAATATTTTGTTCTACATTCAATTGCAATGACATCGGAGACAACAAGCAGTACTGTAGATGGTCTCAAAGCTACCAAAAACTTTCTTCACTGTCTTGGGCGGTATGGCAACACTCCGTTTCTGTTTCCTTTATATGGCCAAGGAGAACTCCCACAGTGTTTTTGCAGGTAAGTTACAATTTAAAGGTGAGCTTGGTGGTGCATCCCTGTATTCCTAGCATGTGGGATGTGAAGTAAGTTGGGTTAGGACTTTAAGGCCACTCTTGGCTACATAACACATTGAGGTTTGGCTGAGTTACAAAAGCTCCTACCTTAAAATAAAATCAATAAAGAGTTAGTATATGCAAATATAGTATCTTCTCTTTTTATAGGCAATTTAATGTTTCTTGGTTTCATCTAAATGATAGATTCAGTTTAGCCTGTTTTGGAACTTGATAAAATATTATAAATTCCTATTGTCACCCAACATTATGTTTCAATGTTATCATATATATATATATATGCATTTTTATTTTTTATATTTATATTTTATTTATACTTAGTCACATATTCTATGTATATAATTTTCACTGTTAGATAAGTCAATTGTGAATGTACCATAAGCTACTTCTTCCATGTTTTCTGTTCATATTTTCTATTAACATCCTTCTGTATGTGTCTTAGTTAGGGTTTCTGTTGCTATGATGAAACACCAGGACTAAAGCAACTTGGGGAGGAAAGGTTTTATTGACTTATACTTCTAATTGGTCTTATTAATAAAAACCTACAGCCAGATATAGAGGCAAATACTGGAAGATCAGAGAGAGGAAAGAGAAGCCACAGCCTTACTTTGCTAACTCCTCAGCTGAAAAGAGTTCTGTCTCCTCTTGCCTTATGTTTCTCTCTCTTTGCCCAGGCATATCATTTCCTGTGTGTTTGTACAGACCTCCAGACCTCTATGGTTAACTAGTGACTAGCTCCACCCTCTGATCTTCAGGCAAGCTTTATTTGTTAGAGTATAAACAACATGTTACTACATTTCCCCTTTTATGCCTAAAAATAGAAAAAAGACAGTATTAACTAATATAAGAAAAACTATATATGATAAGTACAATAAGTATATACAATATGTACAGGCAATAAGCACATCAACAATTGTGTAGTCCATTAACAGTTGACAAATTCAGAGAAAATACTCCCTATCTATCCTATCTTGGTTGAGTCCAAAAGGTTGTACCTAATTCACTTTCTATTCTAACTTGAATTACCAAAACTATCTTTTTATGTTTTTCAACCTTATATATTTTACACCTCTTCAGTGAAATTCGTTTCTGAATCTGGCAACAAGGAAAATCTATAGCTATAAAGTCTTCAACTCCATCAGAGACCCAATAAGGAAATAATATTACCCAGTAAGCAGGAAATGTAAGCAAATGACTTCTAAAACATGTGAGAAATGACAGAAACAGCTGGAGAGTAACCCAAAAGTTCTTTTGCAAGTTTGGGACATCCATCTTCAGGCTACAGGCCTAAGCATATCTGAGAGATTTTTCTGTGTAGCAGCATATTCTGAAGGACTGTCTCACCTTGTCAAAGTTCAGCAGTCCGTCCTTTTGTGTCCTGCTTGTCCAATTTGGACAGCATACTGTCAGCAGCCAAGGCAAGGACTCTTTCTTGCCCAGGGCTAACTTGTGCCACAAAGAAAGTAAACTCCATATGGAGTTTCTTTGATGCCCATCATGTCTGAGTAGATAGCTGTTACCAGGAGCAGACATGTGTCATTGCCATAAAAAAGAACCTATGTTATTAAAACATCTTAAATGCCATATTCTGTAGACCTCTGAAGTGTTTGAAGACAACCTGTCTAAAATTTATCTGTTTGACCTTGAAAACATACTATATATGACTACAAGTTCAATTGTAATAAGTGACTAATTGCTATCCTGCATTTCCTTATTATCCTATGTCGTTGGTAATAATAACTTCCAAAGGCTAGAAATTTGCATTACGTTGTTAAATGTGGTGCATAGGTACTATACCTTGAACAGGATGAGAAATGAATGTACAATATGTTATAACAAAAAATCTCAATTTTGTATGGATATACAAAAAATCCAAGCCAATGTAAAATATTTAAGAATAGTAGTTGCTGTTTTGGTTAAAAGATTCAATAATCCTTTTTTTTTTCAGAGTAGATTCAATAATGTACCCTATGCAATCATAATCTGTATCTCCCTTTTTTTTCCAAAAACGAACTCTGAATCTATTCTCCTTTGTTCAACTTTTTTCCTGACCACTACTAATAATAACTTATAACCAACCCCCCTAAACAATGATAAATGTCCATTACCCACTGAATGACCAAACTCCACCTACCCCACCCCGTTTAGAGAAGGAAAGAGCCACACTCCAACTCCAAAGACAGCTTTAATTTTTAACTGAACTTGGACTACTAAAAGATCATTTGCATTATTATGTCTGTAGAAAAAAGCAGAAATAAACATTTGGGAAAATTTATGAAATTGTATCCTCCTGAAGATGTAATATTGTAATAGGCCAATTCACACTTTTTCTTGGGCCTTTTTTGTCTGAACGATTTGTCCTTTTTCTTCAGATGTCTCATCTGTTCAGTGTTCTTTAGATTCCTTAGCTGGATGGCTTCATTCTCTTGAAAGGGCAAAAACAAAACCCTTCCCTAACCTACACTGTTCATCAGTCAGGACAGGAACCGAAACAGGGCAGTAACCTGAGGCAGGAGCTGATGCAGAGGCCGTGGAAGGGTGCTGCTTACTTGGTTGTTTCTCATAGCTTACTCAGCGTGCACTTACAGAACGCAGGACCACAAGCCCAGCAATGGTATGATCACAATAGGCTGTGCCCTGCCTCATTGATCACTAATTACAAAAAGGGTTACAGGTGGATCTTATGGTAGCATTTTCTCAATTCAGGCTCCTTCCTTTCAGATAAACTGTATAGTTTGTGTGTCAAGTTAAGGTACGTCTAGCTAGCTGGTATTTCTTGTGATATATGTGCTCAAGACTTTCTTTAATAGCTAGAAAGATGGGTCAGTAGATATAGAGTGCTTGCTTTAGTCATGTGTGTGCCTGTAACTCTAGGGCTCTGGGGAAGAAGTCTGAGACTAGACGATCTTTGGGGCTTGCTGACACAAACCTAGCTCCAGGTTTAGTGAGAAACCCTGTCTTAATTTTTCTGTTGCTGTGATAAAACAGCATGGTAACTTATGGAAAGAAGGATTTATTTGGGTTTACATTTTCAGAGGACTAGGAGTCCCATCATTGTGGGGAGCCATAGCAACACATGGTGACAGGAGCAGGAAGCTCGTGTCACACCTTCATATACAAGCACAGTAGACTTGATGTGTGATGAAATTAAACACTTGAAGCCCACTTGTAGTAATGTACTTCCCCAGCAAGGGCACACCTGCTAAACCTCCCCAAACAACTCTGGCAACTATTGAGTGATATTCTCATTCCAACCACTGCATTCTGTTGCAAGGGAATAAGGTGAAATATGATAGAGCAGGACACCCATGCATGCACAGGCACATATAAGGACTTCCTTCAGGATGCATACCTACTAATGAATTTTTTTATAATTTAGTGTCTATGAGTGCTTTTCCTGCATGTGTATATGTGCATCACATGTGTGCCTGGTGTCCATGGAGACCATGATAGAGTGTAGGATCTATTGGACCTGAAATTACAGATGAGTGATTGTGTGCTGCCATATGGTAGCTGAGAATCAAACATGGGTCCTCTGCACGAACAGCCAGTTCTCTTCAACAGTGAGTCATCTCCAGCCAAGAATGGATTACTTTTTTAGCCATAACATGTGTGTTTTACATTTCACCATCAAAATATTGTTATTTCTTTTGTAACTAATTTTTATTAGTTAAACACCCTAAGAAATTTCTGTTTGCTTTACATATTTCCCGACATTTAAACAATTTTGTTAGTCTTTACTCATTGTATCTCAATTTTGAGTTTCCTGATTTTCTGTGAGGTTGAGCCTCTTGTTTATTGGCTACTCATGATTTGAATTCGGAGGAATACTTATTCCTCATTGCCCATTTGTCTTTTGGGTTGTTGCCCTTTTCTTAATGATGTTATAAGTTTTTAAGTGTATTCTGATTATAGATCATAGTTAAAATTTTGTGTATTTTTGTGCTACAAGAAGATTGTTAAGATTAATATAGTTGGATTCAGGAAGCTTTTCATTTCTGTTTAGTGTTTTGACTGGTACTATAGCATAGTAGTGAAGACCATGAACTTTGTCAATAGATTGCCTCTGTTTAAGTGTGAATGTCTGTGTTCACTACCATTGTAACTTTGGATAGCTGTATAGCTGTATTAGATTTCTAAGAATTAAGTTCGGTGTTTGAGTTGTCTCTGTTAAAGCTTTGTTTATTTCTGTTCTTTACTGTCTCTGTAGTTTTGCTTGTGGGAGACTTAATTTAACTCTTCTGTATTCTTCCTTGCCTTTCCCAGTCATTAGGCTGAAACTTGAAACTTACTTGATGGAATAGTTAGTGGAACTGACCCCCTCCTTGAAATCATCTGCTCACCCCCAAAGAATAAATACTGGTAGTCTGCAGTTGACTTGAAACCATACTGTTAACATTATTGATTAACACATATTTTGTGTGTACTGCCTGTGACAAAAATGTGTAAGAAAAGATCAAAAAGAGACAAACTTCTTTTGTGATGTTTGATACTCAAAATTTTAAGTGGATACATGTAACACTTGAGTTTGCTGACTAGAAGATGAGATAGCTATAAAATGGTTGGAGTAACACAGTGTGGACCATGTTTATCTTTGTGTCGCTTATTTTGCTCTCCACTGTGAATGGTACCATTAATTGTGTTATTGAGATAGAAATATTTTGGGTACTACTGATGCTTTAAGCTTTGTGGCTTAGTATAATCATCAGGTTTTATAATGTCTCTGTAGCTGCTCAAAAACATTTAGAGAGTTGAAAGGTACAGAATTCTCTGAAAATTGTTTTCAGACTTCATTAAATCAAACTTAAATTATAATTTTCAAACTATTTTTATTCCTGTTAGTCTATCAATATTAGAGATGTGTTTTGGAAAGCCCTATCATGATACTGGATTTGCCAATTTTCCCTGTAATTTTTTAGATTACTTTATGTTTATTGTGATGTTTAT